CAAAATAAGAGAAAACTCTTCCAAGGTCGGAGCTAACTGATAATCTCTGAAGATGAAGCATATAGCGGCGGATCATAGAATTGAAGCAATGTATGAATAACTCCCTTCTCATTATCTGTGACAGTATGAAGCACACTGAGGATCTTCCCATAACTCTTCCTGAAGTCTTCCAAGTTTTCAGAAGTAGTACTAGCAGCCAACTAGTTTTCAGAATGCAGTGATGATATGATGGTGTGAATGCAAAGACATGGGATCGTAACTCCCATATACTCTGGATATCTGTTGCACTGATACGAAACAAGTTGAACATAACATGTTTAAAAGTCTACTCTGACGAGAATACCAGAAAACCAAGGTCAAAAATTCATACTTACAAGAACGCCAGAATACTGGGTAGGATGAAGGTCAAGGTTTCCTGCAAAAACCCATCCCCTCTCATGTGTGGGTTCTAGTCTTGGACAATGCTCCTAACGGGTCCTCAACTTTTCTGGCTCTCAGGTCGATAAGCAATAATACTTTCACCATTTTTGGTTTGGCATTATTATCCCTCAAGGAGGCCTCTACTAATTTCCCTTGAACGGTCTCTAGAATCGTAAGCTCTCAAGGAAATACTTTGGCTACTGCATAAACATGCAGAACAGGGCACCTCCAAGAAAACCTCGTTTGAATATGGATCTCATGTCGAATATACATATCAAACACTACGCATGCCAACACAAGTCCACTCTAATCCTGTGTGTATGCTCAAGCCTGGGTAATGAGCTTATCTCTCATTAACAACCCCTTCCAACAGCACAACAATATCTAGAATAATGGGGTGAGCGAAACAGAATGCAATGCAATGCAAATAAACAAAGTAAGGAAATCATATAGATAAACACCCAAAGAAAATAAAATAAACAAGAGGTAGGATTGACTCGCATAGGGAACCAGGGTCCCTAGCAGAGTCGCCAGCTGTCGCTCACGCGAAAAATCACCGGCGAAGACACAAAGTCGCCATCAAACTTTATTTATCCTAACGGGGAAAGGAAAACATCAAAAGGGAAAGAACATGGTTATCGCAACCAAATTTGGGGTTTGGGAGTCGATTATGCAAGTGGAAGTTATTAGCACCCCTCGCGTCCGTTGTACTCAATGGGATCCACTCTTTTTGTTCTACTCAAAGGGTGGGTTTATCTAAAGCTTACTTGCTAAGGGAATGCAGAAACGAAAAAGGAAAAAAGACAAAAGAGGACTCGATAGGATCTCGCAATCCTATGCCCACGTATTCCCTCGTGCAATGGGAAATTCAGAGTCAGCATAGTTCGGAGGACTACATGTGAAAATGAAGGTTTCTCGCCAAGGATTGAGGCCCTTGTACCTACGTATCTTCATTTGAACGAGAATGAAGAAATCAGAGTGTCTGTAGTTCGCGAGACCACAAGTTGCTTAGTAGTTTTTATGGACAATGCTAACGTTCACGTTGTAGCAGTTAGGTGTTTTCCGCTCGTTGTCTAGAGTTTTACGTGTTACCTGTTTGCGGTAGAATGGAAATAACATACCCTTTCTGGAAAAAAAAGGAAGGAAAGAAACCCAAAGGAAAACGATTCAAATTTGTTGAAGTGTTTTAAAGAAGTGAATTGAAATGGTTTATGATGCCCATCGTGCTAAAGTCTATGACAATAGGAGCGAGTACTTTGTACAAACGATCCAAACGTCTGGCGCACAAAATACTCTAAGAAAAGGTAAGGAAGATTTCTGCTCATCTTTTCCCATGTGCTTAAGGCTCATGACGCATTATACACATTGTATTTATTAAGTGTTTTGAATTGATTAAGAGAGAGAAGAGAAGGACGCAACACAAGATCTAAGGGAGACTTGGCCCTAGATTTATCATGCAATGTGGCCCTAAGGTTAGGATTAGAAGATGATTCTATCCTAATGTTATCATGCAAGATGACCCTAAAGTTGAGGATTAGGGAAAAGCTACCCTAGTGTTGTCATGCTTGGTTTAGCAACCTAATGTCTATCCTACTCCATTCTTAATCAAAAATTAATTTGGACTAGGAAGCCCTAAGGGAACATGCAAGAGCAAGCAAAAAGATAAGAGAAAAAAAACACAAACAACAGCATACGACAGCGCTTAAATCAGAACAACAGTGTATTTACAGCAATAACACAATAGCATTTAACAACATGTATGGCAGCAATTAATTGCTCGTGAACATGATAACGTGTATGCATTGGCAACAAGTATGCATTCAACAATGAAGCAATTAAACATAGACATGCATTAATAATGCAATAATCAACGCTGCATATGAACATGTATCAACATCAAACATCTTGAAAATGCAACACCAATAAGCTATTATCAACATGTAATCAATTAATATGCGCATGTACAAACCTCAAGAATGCAAGCAATTCACACCAGACATGCAAAACATAATCCTTGATCACATAATAAAGATTTGTGAACATGCTGCAAATGGAGGCTAAACAACTCTAGAAAATTCCACAAATATCAAACATATTAAGTCATGAACCTTAAAAGTGGAAACAGAATTAAGACATGCTAAAAAACAAGCCAAAAATACAAATCACAGTAGGCATAGTCGATTGCAGTATCTGTGTAATTGATTACACCACTTTTAAAAAAGAAATTTCGAGGCACAACAAGCAGGGTATAATCTATACACCATTGTGTAAATCGATTTACACTTGTAGAAACAACAAAAATCACTTTTCAAAAGCACTTTTCTAGCATTACTTCAATGGTCAAATGTAACATGTAATAGCATGCAATTATACATGAAAATCACATAAATTAACAGCAAATGAACCTATATTGAATCAATTAAACATCAACAACATCAAGCAATTGAATCAATGGATTAATTCATACAAAAACCACAGGGATTTACATTATGAAAATTGTAAAATAAGCTAAAATGAGTTTAAATCTAAAAATCACCAACCTACAAAGCTAAGATTTGCTTTGGTAATTGTTGCAAACAGAATTTGATAAATCGAGCTAAAAAAATCGAAGATCCAATGAATTCCTAGCAAGAAACTCGAATAACAATACAATAAGATGAACTTGCTTCAAAATCACTTCAAGAAAGTGCTTCCAAACTTCAGATCTAGATCCAAATCAACTTCTACTGCATAATTGATTGATGGAAGTACAATGTGATGAAGGTTTAGCTCTAGAATTAACAAACTCCAATGAAGAATTTCATAATTCTAATGGAAGAGCTTTGGTGAAGTTAGGGATGAAGATGAAAATGGAGAGTGAAAAAGTGAGAGAGAATTGAGAGAATTTGAATGTGAAGTATAGAAAAAATATAAAAAAAAGAATCAATTCTCTCTTGGAATGGAGCAAATTGGTTAAAATATGGTTTAGGTATGGAGTGAGAATAAGGTTTGGAACTTGGTTTTGAATGAGGAGTGGAAATTTTTTGAATTTTGGAGGAAAAATGACATTAACTTGGAAATGAGCTGATATCTTGAAGCATCTAGATCCTTCCACTGATGTAGAATTGATTCCAAGTGAAAATGAATGTGAATGAAACTACTACAGTGCTGAAAACTTATTGTTTTTGGCAAAATTGACATAGTGTAATGGATTTTCAACTGTGTGTTAATCTATTACACCCTTTAAAACCTGCATAATGGCGCCTTTTGGAGGGGTGTAGTCGATTGCACAAAAGTGTCAATCGATTACACCAAGGCAAAAATACAAAAATTGCCCTGTTGCAGCCTGTTATGAGCCCAGCTTCGCGTTTGAACCTTAGCCACTGATAATACCCTTGAATAATGCCTGAAACATGATAGACAACTTGTCTGGAACAAGATCATATGGACCCTGTTCTTTCTGCTATCGATTTTGAAATAATCAAACAACTCATTGAGCAAAACAAATGCTTGATGCTTCTGATGATTGTCTGTTTAGCTCTGAATGCTACTGAAACACTCTCTGCAAGTAAAGAAAGCTCTGAGCTGCCAGAAAAAAACACTGTGATCCCATGTCTTAGAAAGCCAATGCACTGCATAACTAAAATGCATATGAATTGCATATGGATGTGACCATAAGCCAACTAGGATTATAAAACAAAATTTTAGGATGTAACAAATATCTCCAACTATCATTTTTATCAACTGTTCGATGAATTAAGTTTTATGACCTCTTTTTTTTTTATTCAATAATTTATTTTTATTAAAAAAATCACAAAAATCAAATTTAAAATGAGTAATATTAACTTGTATTCTAAAAAAACATGTTAAGAAACCTACCAAGAAAAAATTTACGTTGAAAAAAATAATTATAAAATTTATGTACTAATTTAAAAAAATAAAAAAAACTCTTTAAACTTATTTACAGAACCGTTTGCATATTTGTCTTTAATTAATTAACAACGAAAATTTAGATGAACATATTCTTACTCCGTCCATCTCAACGTTCTTACTCAGTCCAGTTTACCCGATGAAATGATCCGTTGAAAAATGTACAAATTACTGTTACTTTATGCAAGATTCCAACTTTCGTACAATAATGCGAACCTTTCTTCAGCCAATGAGACTTACACAAAGTGACTTCTATTTTCGACACCCGAATCCAAAGAATCCCAATTCCCGATTCCAGTACAATTCGCATTAAACAAATCATTAATAATGCAACTCGAATAATAATAATGCACCACCAATAGTAACAATAATAATAAAAAACAAAAAACAAAAAAATGGTAGTAGCACAGTAATTTGAAAAAGAAGGGTTTGACGTAAGATTTCTTTTCTCGTTAACGATGAAAATAATAATATCACTCTCATCTCATAATCAACGGTTCAGATTCATTCCTCAGTTTTAGGGTCTTGTTTTATCTTCTTAAACTTCACTCTTTTCTTCTCCAATTAACCCTCTCTCACTCTCTCTTTCTCTCTCACATACACAAAACCTTCTTCTTCAATCTTTTTCTTTTCCTTCAATCTAGCTTAATCTAGTAGCAGAGAAGAAGAAGATGATGTTAGGGAAAAGACCTCGTCCTCCGATGAAAAGAACAACCAGCATGTCAGAAATAACCTTCGATCTGAACACAGTAACACCAGAAGACGATCCCAACAACAACCCCCTCTTCAGCCCTAACGGACCTGGCGCTGGTCCGTTCGGTCCATATCCATATCCACATCCGCCAACTTCTCCTCAAACCAACGGTTCAGATCAGAGCAGGCTATTAGCCACAGTCTCGCCCAGAAACCATAGAAGAAACTCATCTGATATGACTCACACCCCTGATTTCTTACGCTCTTGCTTTCTCTGTAAACGCCGTTTGGTACCCGGCCGTGACATCTTCATGTACAAGTAAGTTTATTTTACTCCATCTTTTTTAACCTATCTTTTATTAACCACAAATTTAACAGACTAAACCACTACCGTTAAACTGATTCTAGAGTTTTTTAATTAATAATTTTGTGTGTTAATTGCAGAGGAGATAGTGCTTTCTGCAGCTTAGAGTGTCGTCAACAGCAGATGAATCAAGATGAGAAGAAAGATAAGTGTTGTGTGGCATCAAAGAAACAAGTTGTTGGTTCTAAAGTTACCGCAAAAAGTGAAAAAATCGCGGTTGCCACAAGTTTGTAGCATATCATCCAAACAAGGATTAATGGATGGCATGCGATTTTAATTACCCATATATGTTCTTGCGCTTTCGTATCAGTAAATTATTATTTAAATATGTTAAATATTTATGTATCTATATTCTATACACCTAGCTCCTTTATTTTCGCTATGATTATTGTTCTGGCTTTGTAATTTTCATCTTGGCTGGAGTGGTTATTCAGTTCTTTGCTGGTTCATAGACCAGTAATTTTGAAGTAACGAGTCTATTTTCGATTGGATTTTGAATCGTGACCTATAAAAAATTAAAAGTAAAATTGTACTGTAACTCATAAAAGGAAAATTGGCATATTTTGTGTGGAAAGTAAGGATGGTGATGGGTTTGGGAAGTCTTTATATGCTGTCATCACTCCACTGATTTTCTTCCTTTTTTTTTAGAGAAAAAAATATATTTAACATCTATAAGTTGCGTAATCTGAGTCCTGACCCTTGAATTTTAAATATAAAGTGTTTAGCTTTTTAATTGTTCTTGCTCAATCAATAATAATAAATCCACATGATGTGCTTAACACACCGAATCTTTCTAATGTTAAATTAGCATGTGTCATAATCGTAATGTTGATGCTTAAGCGTATTAGTTTTAAAGAAATTATTCATGTACATCCAAACTTTATACTGTATATATTTTTCAAATGTGTGTAAATTTATAAAAAAATAGAAAATATGTGAGAGGTTTATATAGATTCATAGAGGAAATAGATTTGAGAACATTCAAAGAAAGTTTATACAAGCATAGGGGAGAATTCTTGGAAGACATGCAACATACAAGAAATAAGAAATTTCTAACACAGAGGGTTATTTTGCAATCCAACTTACTTTATTAGCTACTAATCTATGTCTGCTTCAGGAACGAAAGGAGGATGGAAAAAAAGCATTAGTAGTTAATGGAAGTGAATGGTTAAGACAATAGTTCAAAGAGATTAGAGAAAAGAGATCTTATGATGTGGATAATGAGAGAGTCAGATGGTTGCAATGTTATGGAGTACCGTGTCGGAACTCAAACTTCTTTGAGTTTATCACAACCCTTTGAGAGTATATATGTGTTCGGATGATAACACTAGAAGCCAATCAAAAACGGATGTAGTTCATATTCTGGTTAGAACAAAATACACTTTGATCTTGAATGAGACTTTAACGTTCAAATTAACAGAGAGGTGTACAAGATCATAAATGGGAAAATCTCAAACACTCTTAAAGATATGTATCCCTATAAACTCAGAAAATGTAAGGGTCTTGGAATTAAATGATTGCTTTGGTGAATGAAGTGGAGAGGAAGATAGTCCATAAGACGAGGTCGGCCTCAATGATGGTTTTCTCAAAATCAACAGCAAAAACTATGACTTATATAACAAAGCCAAATAAGGCCCTAATTGTGTACAATGAGACAGATAAAGAAAATCATCATACACAATGTGAGAATAGGAAGGGTGGTATGGAGGAAATATCAAGTGAAGTAATGTGAATTCAAAGGGTGGCGAATTCGGAGAAGTCAAGGTTTACTTTGAAAAAAATGGGTGCACAAAAAGTTGTAGCAAAAAATGTTAGGAGTGGAGGGGTCAGTGGTGTAGCGAAGGAAACATATTTCATTTTGTCTCATCCTAGAAGTAAGGAGAGAAAACAGGCTTTAATTGGTGGGCCCAATCCAGGAATTGAAAAGGCCCAATCAGAAAATCCTGGTCTACAAGCTCTCATAAATGAGTCGAATAAACCATCAACCAAGATATATATCCTACCTAACCTGTTGGTTCAAAGCAATTGTACCATTCAAATCCAAAACACATGTAGAAGAAAAACCTATCCACCTCACGAAAAAAATTTGGACCTTGACGTCATTAGACCGTCTTATTATTCAGCTCTTCTGCCTACCAAGCAAAAATTTTAAATTATACCTTCCCTTACCAATAAGTCAGATTCAATGAAAGATAATTTTTTCAGGAAGATCTGCTTAGTATTGCGAATCAACAATAGATTCAGATGTGATTCAAAGTAATAAGAAGTTTTGGGAGATTAAGTAAGAGGGTGTTGTTGGTAAGATTTGGAAAAAGGAGATAGAAATAGGAATCAAAGGATTTGAAGAAGTTAAAGTTCATGTGTAAGCAATTAGAGGAATGGAAAATAAAGACCAAAAAGGAAGAATATTGAAGCAAAGTAAAATCAAAGATGACATCATGAATATAATGTCATACACTATTTGTGGGTGATGCAATTCAATCAAAAAGAAATGTTGGGAACAATTGATTATATTATGGAAGATTGATATGTGCTTATTGCAGGAAACTAAACTCCAAAGTGTGAATGAGGCATGTGTAATCTCATTATGGGGCAACAGAAAGGTGGAATGAGCTCAAGGAAGGTCAGAAGGATTGTTGATCATGTAAAAAAATCAGGTTATTCACAATAAATGTGAGTTTTCCCAGGGAAGGATTCATTTGTATAAAACTCGAATGGCAAGAAACCTCTTACTTCATTATAAACATATATTTGTCTTGTTGTATTCATAGAAAGAGGAAGTTATGGAATGAATTGAGAGAGTTAAAATGTAAACAAAAACTTAGAGAATGATGCATATTATGTGATTTTAATTTAATCAAGAAAAAGAAAGAAAGAAAAAGGTTTAACACATAAGTAAGTATGAGTGAATGCAAGAATTCAAGGATTTCATAGATAGCTTTGAACTAGTGGATGTACCATCAATTAGAAGTAAATTCACATTGTTTAACTTGGAAGGCATTGCAATGAGTAGACTGTATATGATTCTTTTAGTAGAGGGCTTGAATGAGAAGTGGAAGATTAAAGGTAATAAGAGGTTCTGAGAGATTAAGTAAGAGGATGTTGTTGGTAAGATTTGGAAAAAGGAGATAGAAATAGGAATCAAAGGATTCGAAGAAGTTAGGGTTCATGTGGAAGCAACTAGAGGAATGGAAAATAGAGACCAAAAAAGGAGAAGATTGAGGGAAGGAAAATCAAAGAGGGCATCATGAATATAATGTCATACAATCACTACGCCAAAAATGATTTTTGGCAGCACAACAAAGACAGAGCGCTGCTAAAGATTTAAAAAAAAAAGAAAAAGGAAAAAAGCGTTGGCTTTAGAAAGCGCTTTCTTAAAAGCGCCGCTAAAGGTTGTTGTTTTGCAATACAATAGAAAGCGCTATTAAATGGGGGGATACGAAAGCGCTTTATAAAAGTACTGCTATAGGGGGGATACGAAAGCACTTTCTTAAAGCGTTGTTATAGATTCTGCCTTAGGCAGACTTTAGAGAGCTCTTTCTTAAAGCGCTGCTAAAGGTGAGGGTTACGAAAGCACTTTTAAGGAGAAAGTGCTGCTATAGGGGGGTTTACAAAAGCATTTTCAAAAGCGATGCTATAGGTCTTTACTTTTTTAAAAATAAAACAATATTTTTATTTCAGACTACACAGTATTCATTCTTTCTCTCTCGTGTATTCTTTTCCTCTCTCAAGACAAAAATCCTACTCCCTCCGTCCGTCTCTCCGACCGCCATATTGCGTCCGTCGTACTCCCTTCGTCTGTCTGTTCGACCGCGTCTCCCTCCGTCTGTCCGACCGCCGTATCCCTCCGTCTGTCCGACCACTTCCACCATTTTCAAGGTAATATGTTAATGTGTTTTCTTTTGTGTTTAGAAAATCAGATGAAACCTGAGTTGTAGTTTATGATGCAATTGTTATTGTTATTTTTTGTACGAGAGTGAAATTTGATCTTAGACCACATAAGCAACTGTTATTGTTACTGTTGTTTATTTCATCCAGCTTGAGATCTTAACGTTTATTAGTTAAAAATAGCATAACTAATATCAATAGAGATGTTGTTTTTGAAATGAAACAAAAGTAAAATATTCAATGCTAAATTAAATTAATGAAGAGTATTTTAAATACTAGTATAGAGAAGTTGTTAAGATATAAGTTAGTTTTACTTATATTTTATTCTAGGAAATATAAGTTATTTTTAGTTATATTTTATTCTAGAAAATATAAGTTAATTTTGCATATATATTAGCATAGGAAAGTTAATATATGAATAAATTTTCCTTTTATTTCATTTCAAAAATATATGTTAAGTTTGTATATATATCATTTTGAAGAAAAATGATCAAAAGAAAAACTTAATAGAAACTCTAGAGGTTATTATATAGTTTTGCAAAAAAAAGAGCAAACCATGGTAATTGAATCTAAAATATATATTAGAAAAATGTGAATGTTGGGAAATTATTTGAGAGCCGATCAACCAAATTTGAAGATTTAAAATTCAAATCAAATTTCTCAAATTTCAAAAACGTATCCACATATATCAAAGTAAGGAGTAGTGATAAGTATTTATAAATTTCTAGTATGAAAAATGATATAACTAGTTGTTGAGATGAGAGTTTATTCAGATCTTATGAATGTTTGTTTTATTTTAAATTTGAGATAAATCTTATTATGTTTTATTTTTAATCAATAGTCATGACAATACTAATAAGGATACAATTTCAGTTTAAATTTTATGTTACACTCTATAGCTATCTTTTAATTATTGAAAAATGATGGAAACTTGAATTAAGTAAGGAGAATGTTGTTATTGATGTTGTTAATGTTGATGTTGATGTTGTTGATGAAAACATGAATTAATTTTGTATGTTAATTTGTTATAGGGGTTACTTGTGAAGAGTAAGATGTGATCGTTTTCAAGAATCTTATTGTGTAGTTCTAGAAGTTGCTGACTTCTCTACAATTGCTACAGGTAATCACTATTGTTGTTTAACTTACTTAGTTTAGTTTAGCCTACTTAATTAGTATGGACAAAAAATGGATATCTTCCAATCGATTGTCAAAATAGTACGAGAATGGGTTATCAAAATTCGTTAAGTTTGATGTTGAACATGCCAAAGACCTTAGTAGGATCACATGTCCTTGCTTAGGTTGTTGCTATGGGCGTCAGATTGACGCAGTTCAGTTGGAATCGCATT